GTGATGTAGGGCAAACTGGCTAGGTAGAAAAGTAGTCAAAACGGCATGTTGGGTAATGTTAGGATTTTGAGGGTGGGGGTTAGGTTTATAATTTGAGTTTCCTTGATTTATTGAATTAACTATATATTTTGTTACTCTGACTTTGTTTATTTATTTTTCTAATCACTCCTCTCTACATCCCAAAAGAACTGGGAAATAGGGCGGCTGTAGGTTAAGAATGACGAACACAACGCAAAGCATGGGACATTGTTTGTGACAGCCGTTCCTATTACACTTGTAAACAAGTTGCTATTCAAGTGTCAAATGCATGTATGTCTGTGTACAAGTTGTTCAAATAAAATAAGTATATAAATCATTTTTTACTGTAAACTTGCACCTATATTACTATATGGTTCGGAGTTATGGGGAACAAAATATAATGCTTCCATCGAAAAAGTATATACTAACTATTTCAAAAGTTTTTGGGTGGACTGATATATACGCCTCAAAATATAGCAATGTTTTGTAAACTGAACTCTGCGGTATGTTTGTACATAGTCAAGAAACAGTAAGGAATATATTATTTACATGTGAGATCTTTATGTGTGGATTGTACAGGATACTTGTAACATTCAAGTGTTTATGGGAATATGTAAGCAGCGAGTGAAAGATACATTTGCATAAAACTAGTAAGGAATCGTTTCATCTTTACATTATCTTTGCAATTATAGTAAATTAAAGTCATATCTTCAACCTGAAATGTATTTCTCTGTCTTACCAGAAAAATCTTTAATAAGATCTTTTTTGTAAATTCAGAATTTCATTACAGAATGTCAATGTCAATATGTGTGGTAAATCTAAACATAAATATTGAACGTACCAATTGTGACTAGGTGAAGTTGACGATGATTTCTTATTTGAGTGTAACAAGTATTCCAATTTAAGATCTACATATCTTTCTTTCTTGCAAAATTACTTTAAATCTGAAATTTGAATGATAAATGTTTTCAACTCACAAAATAAACATGATATCCTTTCAGTGGCTACTTACATAAAACATGTTTTAATATCAGATTCAAGAAGACGTAATTTCTGTATATTCACGTGACAATATATTATGATTTAGTATCAGTTGTACTTTAGGCCATATGGCCACAGCACTGAATAAACCTGTCAGTCTGCAGGTGACGTTATCAATAGTTAATGTGTCAGTATACAGGTGATCCATCTGTCTATGGTACTGACTATGGTACTGTCTATGGTACTGCCTATGGTACTCTTATCAGGCCTCATTATATACGTGATCTCATCAAGTCATCTGTCGATAGATTATCTTATCAAGGTCTCATTATCCAGTGATCCTATCATGGCATCACTCTATAGGTGACCTTATCAAAGAATCAATATGTAGGCGATCAATGTAGCAGTTTTGACGAACCCGCATTCTCGTATCTTATGTAAGGGATTTCATCTTGGCTAAGAATACTGTGACATCCTGTATGATTTAAGCGTTAAGGACACTGTAGACCAGCGATACATGTCATGGCGGACGGCATATGTATCCAAAACCAACCTCGAATTTTATTTCTGCCGTGCAAAATGTATTATTTTGTACCGTTGCATGTCTACAGAACCTGTCACTCGTGGATACTCTTTTCATGAGCGTGTGGTTTTGTGAGTCCAATGAACTGTTTCAGTTTAATTTACTTCAATTGTTTCTAGTTCTCTATCAGAGAAAATAACGTAGGTCTGGATCAGGAGCAAATATCCGAATAAGATCGCTAAGTGTTCGTCGGTACCTAAAGCTTTCTCGGTTTTATGTAACCGTATACCTGTTATTGTTATTAGTAAATTGAAATAAAGGGATTGCTTTAGAAAATCGGTTTTATTTGAACATGGGTATTATTTCATGTATCACATATGCGTTTGATTTCCTGTAGACTTTGTCTGGGCCTAGTCTCCTGTAGATTTTGTTTAGACCTAGTCGAAGTGATTCTGCTCTAGATGACCCGAATGGAAAAGCTCTCACTTATTGATTATATTACACTTCATGAACAAGATCAACATGTTATAAAAATATTGCTTTTATCTCATTAACAGAGTAAAAATATTGGTATGAATGTTTTTTCAAGAGGTCTTTAAATAATTAAGCTCTTTTTTTGTTATTTGTGAAAAATACATCAGATGTTGACAGTATCAATAATCGACTGTAAATTAGAACTAACGTGATCTCTAGAGCAAAGATAGTGACTTTGTGTGAACTTCCAAGTCAGCTCGTCGTTAGCAATAACAGAGATAAAACCCTTGCCATAATCAGAAGAAATCTGTGCTAAAAGCAGAATCCACGATTCCGACTACATGATAAGCATGTGTTTATGAAGTTTTTCGCATGGATTTGCATACGCGTGGATATCACAGGATGTTGGAAATAAAATTATGTTCTTAACAATGTTTAAACAACGATATAAAGATATGTATTGGAAAGGCTGGTCAGCTGATATCAGATGTTCAAAATCGCTACATGCCTATTTAGTGTTTAAGATGGAAATAATACCAGAAATGTATTTAACAGCAATTCGATCTTTATCTTTAAGCAGATGTTTAACGAAGTTCAGGTGTGGTATACATACCCTCAATATACAATTATACAGACACTCCAAAGATAATGATGTTTTAACATCGATGTGTCCTCACTGCAAATATCACCAAGTAGATGAATACCATGTTTTAGTGATATGTCCAGTATATGAAGATATAAGAATCAAATACCTGCCCAACTATTATTATACGTATCCATCCCAAAGAAAATTTGTACATTTAATGAACAGCAAAAATGGCCATATTCTTCTCAGAATTGCAGTTTTTGCTTTTAAGATATTTGAAGGAGTGATGATACATTGAACATTAATAAAACTCAATTGTGTACTACAACGCTACTCAGCTCCAATATACAAGTGGTGTTCCACTACGAATTTCCCTACAACAAAATGTCATTGCACTATTGGCCTCACGACCACATGCACGAAATAAATCTGTCTGTTTATGAATCACAATCACACAGACATGATAAAAGGTGTTAAAGGGGAAGTGTACACGCAAAAATCACTTTCTTTCTTTTTCTAAACAAAACGCAATTTTAGAATTAGTTAGTATCTGTGTTTGAAAATATACACTCATTTTTTTCACAGTGAAAGTAGGAAGCTCACAATAGTGTGAAAATGATATGCCGTTACGAGGCCTTCGTTTTTCGAGCTAAACTGGCCTGAGTTATCCCCCTTAGATTATGACGTAATTGGTGCCAATTCAACTGGGTCCCTGTCTATTCTGAACGCAAAAGATATCAAGTACAAGTTTGCGGTAAAACAACATGGCCTACGACACACTCCGGCGCAGTGGTGACTCAGCATAACACTATGCTGGCTGGCATCTGAGACGCTAGAATCACACATCTGTACCTACACCACGTGAAGCGGCTCTAACAAAGCATGATGACGTCATAATGTTTATCAATTGGCACCAATGACGTCATATTGCAAGGGGCATAAGCCATGGTGTTTTTGTTATGGAAATAGAACACTTGGTAAATGTGAAAAATATAAATCGTTTTAATGCAAAACATATGTTAATTAATTGTGATATTTTTATATTTTTGTCTATGACACTTCTAGGTTAACACTTTTATTGTGGAAAAAGTACAAGAAAATTAGGTTCATTTCCGTGTGAACTTGCCCTTTAACGAAAAGGTGAGTGTATCCTGTTCCTCGAGTTATATTACGCTCTTTGACATGTTCGAATGAGGTTGGCTGGTTGGTTTGTTGGTTAACGCAGCACTCAGCACTGTTCCAGCTATATGACGGCGGTCTGTAAATAATCGAGGTCTGGAACAGACAATCGAGTGATTGACATCATGAACATCGATCCATGCAATTGGGATCGATGACATGCATCAACAAAGTCAGCGAGCCTGACCACCCGATCTCGTTAGTCGCCTCTTGCGACAAGCTTAGTCGCCTTTTATGGCAAGCATGGGTTGCTGAAGACCTATGCTACCCCGGATCTTCACGGGTCATGTTCGTATATAGAGCTTGCTCGATGCAAGAAGTGTCCTTATTGACATATAGAAGATGCACTAAGCATAAATATCTGTCTTTCACAGCAATTATGTGACACACACATGTTGTGCGAATGTGATTTCGAAATATGCTGCAGGGTTAGACAATAAGTTTATGGAAAATGAGTTTGCATCAAGAATTTTCGTGTAACGGATGAACGATCTGTTGATATGTAGCTTACGTTGAAAAAGATGATATGGAAACGAAAGTTAATTGATGTAACTTATGTAACTGTTCAGTGTCCCCCACGCGACTCCAAGATTATCAGAGATGATTATTCAGCACCGTACCCATGCTCGTTTCACCAAAACGACAATTTTGGCTTTTCATCCACATGGTGCTGAAATATTGGGATATAACTGAAATACTGTTCAAAGAAGCGTTAAAGCCACTTACTCCATCATACACCCACTCGCATGGACAATTGAGATTCGTGAGAGACAGCGTCTGCTTTTGGTCAGTGCTACATTCATGCTACAAGATATACCTTATTTTCCAGTTTTGGAGCCAACAACACATTTCTTTTAAAGAATTCGAAGTCCTTTTCAAAACCAATGGCCACAAAAGTTAAAGTTGAAAACAAATCTAACTGGACCAATGTTTCGCCGGTACGATGCGACTGTTACTATGATACAGATGTTTACCTTGTCCTGATCACATTGGTTGATTTCCAATGAAGTCCTGTTTTGTAATAGCTACTCTAACATATCGGTAAACATAATCTTTTGTAATCATTGCTCCTGGTAGAGTGTTGGTATTTGGTGACGACGGCACGTGATTACAACAACAAATACGGGGACGAGGTATGCAATTATCCCACGAGGAAGACAATATATAAGAAAGCCTTGGTGCTGTATCTCATGTTGTCTCCTAACCGCTTCCTCGCGCACACAACGCAGAACCAATACTCAGCTGGAGGCGTCACGAGCAAAAAGCCTGCGCCAGCCACCTGATCGATGTCATACACCCAGGAATCAATCTCATCCAGTCGTCAACGCTCCCTGAATCACAAGTCCGAGACGAGTCTGTTTAACCGCTGGATATTGATTCAGTGGTAGCTATCAATTTTTAACTGCGTTGTTAACTTGGCGCAGGTAGCCTGTGTGAGGCAGCGCCCCTAACGGTGAGTTTCCACTAGTCGTCTGCTCAACCACCTGTCACCTGCGAGCGCAAGTCAGAAAGGCGGGGAACGTAGGCAGCTGGATCCTACAGGAAGTAGCACTTGCCAGCCGAAGGCTAGAAATGGGAACATGACGAATGGAGGGAGCATATGGTATTCAGTGTCTTTCGAAGGAAATGGATATATTTTACGGAGAACATATGAATCAAAATAATCAAGTTCCTCAGAAGTTAACTTAATGGTATAGCCATAAATCATTATTAATCAAGCGGTGTGTGATGCTCGTGAGTGATCGTCTGAAGAAGCTCCAGAGCGCGGGACACAGTTTCAGGAAACACCCAAGGAACAGGAGGACCCACCCGGATCACACACCATGGCTGCTGCCTCTCAACCACCCACCCTCATCAACACCCCTGTGATCGGTCTGTTTCTTCTGTTCGCTGGCACTAACCTGGTTACATCGCAGACATCCACAATCCTAACCATAGGCAAGTACCACTCAGTAATGTTCTCCGGGCATGAATTTACCTTGTTTGACCAGCAGCTGTTTTCAATGACAAACGATTACTCTGTGATTGTATACGTTTTACTATAATAGGTTATTGCTGTGAAAATAATTGGAAATGGTTTCATTATTGTTGCATGGGTTTATTTAGAAATAAAGATGGCCTCGATACCGTTAAAATGTTAATGCGACTGAGGAAGCAGATTCTATCTCTTATTATGGAAATACGATCATGGCTCTTGATCACATTATCTATAACAACTAATTATATTTTTACAAAATATCCTAACGCTTATTATGGCAATGTTATCGTGATGCACACTCATTACAACGAGAAAATGTATCCTATGTCAATCAATTGTGCACATCTAAGTCTCGTGTATGTCGTTATTCTTCCAAGGTCGATACTTGTACGATTGGAAATCGATAAACGTATGCGTTTTCTGTAAACCTCCTCCTATTGTAAGACCAAGTCCTAAATCTACAGTGAAACATGGGTCTACAAATGAGCAATACTTTCCTTCCGATGGAGACAGAGAGCCAAGGTTTGAGAGGTTGATTGCCCCAATACACCTCTCCTACACCAGCGTCAGCAGTAATTAATAACGATCGGACCAGATTGCCTTTGTTACTGAGTAATGTTCATCGTGTACACGTCCTGCATCCACATAGAAATAAAATTGGCCGTCGCAAATAACTTAGAATAGAGAAATTCGAAAGCATAATGATATCTTGTTGCAAATAATATAGGTTTACTATCGACACGGTATAGTGTCATTAAAGGAAATTTGCATAAGTTGAAATAACATAAATACGCTCTACCGTTACACATCATCGTATGAGAAAAAAATCATAGACAAATTCATCTTATATTACAGTATTTCATCTTTGATGTGACCAAACAGATTTATGTGTCCTTACATAACAAAATTCCATGGCAGTGAACAATCATAAATAAATAATAATGTGTATCTTTATAATACGCCAACTCCATACCCTAAAGCATGCTCAAAGTGTTCCATCCTTACCCGGTCAATGAATGAGTGTGTACTCGAGTTTCATTCTCAGCTCAGCCCAAGCTGAACGTGAGGCGCTAAAATGTTAACACTACCATCTCATCCTAACGGGCACCCATTCAGTGCTGATGAACAGAGGCACATTTCGAACAAAGTCACTTGCTTAAGGTGACACCACACGTGCAAACATATGAGTAAGCTATAAGCAGGCTCGCCTACAATACCGGACATCAATTCCTCCTGTGTGACATTGCCTCCTCCTTGTACCCCAATGCCCTATGAAATAACTCGATACTCACATATGAGATCATAATATTTCACTAAGACTATGCTTCGAGCTATGAATAAAATACGAGGTTTACATTGTGCAGTGCATGACAATTAGCTGTTTCCGCAAACAGGCAATTTGTCAACGTCATCTTGGTGCTTCATCTGCAAATAAACCAGCAATTTAAGAGTACTTGATGATTCTGTTGTTGTATAGTTAGCCTATAAATAGTTCCAGCAACATCCATATGTCATTACCTTGGCAATCTGAACCAGGACTAAATACCCCTGTGGACTGTGACGGTACTGATTACAGGCTGGTGCCAGCTGCGGTATTGTATCCGCCATGGGCACACTGACTTGGACAATAAGAGAGAGGGGCATAATGCATTTAGATCACAGAGTCATGAACACGAACACGATATCGCTGCATGAAGGTTATTTGCTCAGGTACACGAATCAGCAGGAACACGGGCCAGCAGGAACACGGGCCAGCAGGAACACGGGCCAGCTGCAGGGGGTATACTCACCACCAAAGGAAACGCGTACCATAGAAACATATAGAGGAGACTGTACGTTAACGGGAGATGTTTCCAATGTGTACCAATTTATGACAAAACTAACAATTAGTCTAGTGTTATCTCGTAATTTCCAAAATTTACACGCTAATCCTGAGCACGACAAATGGTGCATCTCGAGTTATCGATCTATGATGTCATATGTCATGCGTTCATGAGCGTCGGTTCACACAACATACCAGTATGTTCGTTTGTGCATCTAACCAATCTAATATCTCTTGAATATGAGTAATTCTCGATATTAGCCAACATTAATGGTATTGGCGTTTCTTTTGTCGGTGAGTATATTTGTCCGGTAACCATAACCCATCGGAAGGCATCTTAGATGCCTGTGTCAATATGAGCTAGCTTCAGGGCGGTCAATGGGTCGGGACCATACCAGCTTCAGAGATTTAACTGAGTCAGAGTGAGTGGGTGAGTTATGGCAACTGAGTCAGAAACGTGGACACGTTCCAGAGGGATATTTGAACATGAACTTACTACAGAAAGGTGTCTGATTAAGAAGTGACTTTCACTTTGTGTGAGTTAAATGGAGTATGAACCTTCACAGAGTTAGGTCAATAACGTATGAATTGCATGAGTTTGCCTCGACGTTCGTACTAAGATTGGATCTCATTCTTTGAAGGTTCATTCCTCAGTTAACTGACACAACGTCGGACGAGAGGTGTCGTTAGGGTCGGGATAGGGAGGGTGTGGTCAGGGTAGGAGACGGGAGGGCGTGGTCAGGGTAGGAGTCGGGAGGGTGTGGTCAGGTAGGAGTCGGGAGGGTGTGGTCAGGTAGGAGTCGGGAGGGTGTGGTCAGGTAGGAGTCGGGAGGTGTCGTTAGAGTAGGAGACGGGAGGGCATATAGTCAGGGTAGTAGTCGGGAGGTTTGGTCAGGTAGGAGTCAAGAGGGCTTGGTCAGGGTAGAAGTAGGGAGGGCGTGGTCAGGGTAGAAGTAGGGAGGGCGTGTTCAGGGTAGGAGTTGGGAGTTGTCGGTAGGGTAGGAGTCGGGAGGGTGTGTTCAGGGTAGGAATCGGGAGGGTGTGGTCAGGTAGGAGTCGGGAGGGTGTGGTCAGGTAGGAGTCGGGAGGGTGTGGTCAGGTAGGAGCCGGGAGGGTGTGGTCAGGTAGGAGTCGGGGGGTGTGGTCAGGGTAGGAGTCGGGAGTTGTCGGTAGGGCAGGAGTTGGGAGGGTGTGGTCAGGGTAGGAGTTGGGAGTTGTCGATAGGGTAGGAGTCGGGAGGGGGTGGTCAGGGTAGGAGTCGGGAGGGCGTGTTCAGGGTAGGAATCGGGAGGGTGTGGTCAGGGTAGGAGTCGGGAGTTGTCGGTAGGGTAGGAGTCGGGAGGGTGTGGTCAGGGTAGGAGTCGGGAGTTGTCGGTAGGGTAGGAGTCGGGAGGGTGTGGTCAGGGTAGGAGTCGGGAGGGTGTGGTCAGGGTAGGAGTCGGAAGGGTGTGGTCAGGGTAGGAGTCGGGAGGGTGTGGTCAGGGTAGGAGTCGGGAGGGTGTGGTCAGGGTAGGAGTCGGGAGTTGTCGGTAGGGTAGGAGTCGGGAGGGTGTGGTCAGGGTAGGAGTTGGGAGTTGTCGATAGGGTAGGAGTCGGGAGGGTGTGGTCAGGGTAGGAGTCGGGAGGGCGTGTTCAGGGTAGGAATCGGGAGGGTGTGGTCAGGGTAGGAGTCGGGAGTTGTCGGTAGGGTAGGAGTCGGGAGGGTGTGGTCAGGGTAGGAGTCGGGAGTTGTCGGTAGGGTAGGAGTCGGGAGGGTGTGGTCAGGGTAGGAGTCGGGAGGGTGTGGTCAGGGTAGGAGTCGGGAGGGTGTGGTCAGGGTAGGAGTCGGGAGGGTGTGGTCAGGGTAGGAGTCGGGAGTTGTCGGTAGGGTAGGAGTCGGGAGGGTGTGGTCAGGGTAGGAGTCGGGAGGGTCAGGGTAGGAGACGGCAGGATGTCGTCAGGGCAGGAGTCCGCCAGGTTCTTATCTACAAATATTTGCACCGAATACAATAACACGCTGGACTGATCAGCGTTGTAGATAATCGATTGGCAATGATTGTTCAGGAGTTTGTATACGACAAACAAGCAACAGTATCAAACACAGCATTACAAGTCATCTGCCCACACTACATCATGGTCTTTTTTAATAATTCTTCCAACGTAATCAGAAAATCGTCAATTCCTCTCAACAACTACATCTGGTTGACACTGACGAAGTAGTGAGTTGAAACTATACACACACCACTATATACACACACACACAAAACACGTCAGGTTTTGCTCCGAATCCCTCATGACTGTATTTCTTGAGCACAGTCGATTACTTTCGTCCAATGGGTGGTCACTATTTTGGTCACGTGGAATACACTTATTTTAGAAATATTTGCAATATGTTGTTTATCGTACAGTAAAACACTGCAGGGAGAATAAACCATGAGGGGCACAGCCCCAAGTGGTTATGCTCCCGGCAGTGTTTTATTGTACATAAACAACGATTACGAGTCGATTATTTCTTATATGAGATTTTGTATATCCTTTTTAATGTAAACGCTATAAAAAAAAACATATACCATTTCTAAGAAGGTTATACACTAATAAAATAATGATGACTCCCTGAATACAATCCGACCTCGGCAATGTCGGACAAGTCCATTTTATGAACAGGGGGGTACATTTGGTATTTCCCTGATATTCTAACAAATTTAAAGTCGATTACCTGCACCTTTTCTAACGATTGTCATGTCTCAGCTACATCTATGGGGAACAACTTACTGGACATTTCCCTCTCAAAAATAACGTCGTCCAATTCTCGACGTCATCAAGTTGCGAGCGCCGGTTCGAATCTCCAGAAATGACGTCATGATAGAACAATGATTTATCGTGAAATAGGCCGCTCTGAGTTCTTCATTGTTCTTTGCGATTTATCGCGTAGAAATCGTTTATATACTGATAAAGTAATGTAAAGTACAAAGTTTATAATGCGTGAAATTGTCGTGTTTCGAGAAACTTGTATATTTCAGCATAACAACGAACCGCAGGTATATGAAATCGTGCAATCTGCTTCGAATATGAATGGTTAAATGTGCGATCTGCAATGTATCGCTCGTGGAGGTATGCTATTTGCCGGTGTTCTTAGATAGATACTAGCCCTCCATATAA